AGTTGTGACACTAGGGGTTACTGTCCCATATCTGGACACAGGAGAGAGGAAGCAGGGAACATCCTGTGGCCCTACCTTCAGCCTACTGAAAAGGGAGCACACAGCTCTGAAAACACACACTCTTCCACGTACAAAGAGTGAGCACTTACAAGCTGAAGGCAGGGTAGATATATAACTTATTGACTAATTATAAGGTATACAGGTTGCGTTTACACGTTCATTAATGCAGTGTAGTTACTGCGCATTAAGTGTAGTACATGGGTAACCAAGTACTAAAAATGCACAGTAACTCGAGCTACTGCTCAGTAGCACTTGTGCACAGGTGTTTTTGGATGCTAACTGCACAGTTGCCTAATACTACTGCACATTAGAATATTAGCATGGGTTTTGCCCAGCATGCTACCGCACAGCGTTATTAGGGTACTGCAGAGTTAGCGTCTTGTGTAGTTGCACCCATGTAGAACATAAGTCTTTGTGAACTCAAGCTCACTTCATCAGATGCTGTGAAAGGACAAGCATAGAGCAGTGTGTAAAGTGGAGTGAGGAATCAGAACTTGTGGTAGAAGTGATATTTTTTATTAGACCAGCTAGATTTTTGCAAAAAAAAATTCTTTAATTGCAAGCTTTTGGGCACAAGCACCCTTTTTCAGGCATAGAAGAAAAGATTGTAAAAGTTCTCTTACAACCTTTTGAAGTGGAGTGAGAGATTTGAATACAAGGGGTGGGAAGGGAGAGAAAGGGGCTGGGGAGAGGAGGCAGTGCTGGGAGAGAGAAACAAGCAAAGAACCCATAGGGTAGGAACAAATGGGTCACAAAAGCTAATCTAGGTAACAGAGTAAAAATCTGTACATACATGACAATATAATCTGCAGATGATTTTTTGTTCCTCAATTTCCCATTCAAACTGGCTTTTAAAATTTTGCTGCCTGAGAACAGCAATCCTGAGATCAGCTATGTTGTGTCCCCGAGATCAGCTATGTTGTGTCCAGGGAGGTTAAGCATTTTGCCACAGGCCTTTGTTTCTTTTTGCAGCTGATGTCAGTTCAGTGTTCATTCATTTTCATTCTTACTGGTAGAGATCACCCTGTCTGTCCAGTGTAGACAACTGAAGAGCACTGTAAGGTCAGTGATGGTGTATATGACATTGGTAGAGTTGCAGGTGAATGAACCTTGGATGTTATACTCCTAGTTATTTGGTCCAGTGGTGATGTGGTCTATGAACATCATGCGGCATATTAGGCATTTGGATCCCTTGCAAGGCCTGGTGCCTTGGTGAGGATAGGAATGACTTGGCCTGTTGCTTGAAAGATGCCATTTGAGAAGAACAAACCTGTTCTGGCTTCCAGATACCCACCACCCTCAAACAACAATGTAACTCCCATCCTTGCAGAGCTTTCTGCCTGACATCAGCTAACTACCTCCACCTACAAGCTTCCATGTGTATGTGGGACTCTTCTTTTACTTTGCGATATTACTTCAGGCGTTATTTTTTTAAAGGAAAAAAAAAGGAACCTCTAAATGTTTGGGAGGGACCCTGATGTGGTAACATTTCTTCTTGATGAAAAGTGTAGGGGTATGAACCTTGGTTGTTCAAAGTTAAACACACAGTGGTACCTGTAAGGCAGTCTGAGATACAGACTGAATAGGGTGGGAAGATCTTGCCTCTCTGAGCCTATCAAAGATCGGAGAGGACCAAATTTGCCATTGCTGATAGTTCCAAAGTAAAACTAAGGGAAAAACAGTTTTGCTTAAAATACTCACCATGTGTGGCCTTATTTATACCTAATGAAGATGCAAAAGTGCCACAATCCATGTTTTTTGTTCATCTTTTAAAATATGCAAAGAGAGGACAATGGGGAGGAAGGGAGTTGCCCTCGTCGAAGCTTTCTTAGTTGTGTCCTGGGTGTTTTTGAAGCACTGCATGGAGGATTTCACAATCATCACATAGAGGATTTCTCTATCTAGGAGAACACAAAACACCAGCAGACTCTCCCTATGCCTGAAAAAGGGTGTTTGTGCCTGAAAGCTTGCAAAGAACAGTTTTTCCAACTATTTAACTGGTCTAATAAAAGATAACATATTTACCCAAAGAAACTTGTCTGCCTATGTCCTTAAACCAACAGGCTACAACCAACATCCCAGAAAGGAGTTATTTATTACTTTGTGCCTGCAGGGGAAATAGACCCCTTTGTCTTTACCTCAGTGCATCTGTTTAAACAGATACCGATATGGGCTTCAGAGTAAAATCTAAACACTCCTGATGTCTAATTCAAAGAGCTTCTGCCAGTAGAGCTGTAGAGAGCATTTGTTAATGTTTTTACAGCTTCTTCTTATCAACTCAAAGTTTATCAGGTGCTTTACATAACTTAAGTAGCACTATGACTTGCTTAAATCACCCTTTTGTGGATTTGCAGGCTACTCAGTCTGATTGCATAGGCCTGCGCACCCACTTTACAGCTTTTTGTCTGTTTCCTGCATCTTGATGGAAATGGAGTGAGTGAACAGGCCTCCCTCCAGGCGTAGTGATTGACTACCTTTATCTGCTACCTTTTACAGTTGTGCGCTGGCTAATGTTGCTACTTTGGTGGTTATCTTGTTTAAGGTCACATGATTCCAGATCTCCGGTGGGGAATCTGAATCTGACTTTACTCCTGGGCTGAAAGCTGCTGGCCTGTTAAAATATTTATTTTTGTACTCTCTTCCCTGTTGTATGTATGATTCAACTGCACTTGACGGAATGAGCTGCTATGGGGGCATGGTAATACAGGTCCTTGGAAGCTTTCATTTCTACTTGTTGGTATAATACGTTCTCAGAACAATCCCCAAGGCTCCTTTGTCTTTTGAACTGATGTCTAAAATGCTTTAATATATTTGCAGTGAAAATCACATATAGTATAGATGACAGTGATACTCCAGCCTTCCCTAGTACTTTTTCTTCTGAAAGGTGTTCAAATGCTCTTAAGATACTTATAAAGCCACACAAAAGAACTCACATGTTTACAGAATCCACTCATTTTAGAAAATGAGGTAAATCTCAAACAATCAGACAACGTGTTCCATGGGGAATGAAGGGGAATCAGTGATGGGTCTGGCACAGAGGAGGGCTGGGTCCCTTGTCTATTCATTTTAAGAACATAAAAATATGAGCTTGTGACAGACATGAGCTTACCATACATATATGAACAAAATCCATTCAGCTAACATCTGTCATTGGATGCATCAAGGGTGACAACAGACGTAGGTTTATCCCAGGCCAGATTGTCCTGGGCCAGCAGTTCCCAAACTCTGACAGATTGCATACCACCAATTTAAAACAATACAACCTTAAGTACCACCAGCAAATTTTTGTCATATAAAGTAATTAGGATAAATCTGTTAACATGTACCACTGGCAGGTTGTCTGCGGACCACTGGTGGTACCCGTACCACAGATTGGAAGCTGCTGTCCTGGGCTTTGACTGACATCAAAACAGGCCCCGGACAGTCATTTACACAAGCAACTTGAATGGTAAGGGGTGTAGATTGTAGCCACGTTGGTCTAAGGCCATAGACAGACAAGGTTCTTTGGGTAAATCCAATATCTTTTATTAGACCAACTCAAATGGTTGGGAATTTCTTTCTTAGCAAGCTTTCAGGCATAAATACCCTTTGTCTGCATCTGTAGATACTTCCTCGGCCTGACAAAGGGTGTTTGTGCCTGAAAACTTGCTAAGAAGAATTTTTCAAACTATTTGAGTTGGTTTAATAAAAGATATTGGATTTACTCAAAGAACCTTGTCTGCTTGAATGGTAATTAACTCATATTAGTCCCCAGCATTGTCCAGGAAAAAGTGTTATTTTGGATACTTCACAGGTATTTAAAGTGAGACAATGAGCTTGTATTGTAGGATCCCAGAATAAACCGCTTTGTTCCTTGAAGGAAAAATCCAGTGTCTGTTATTAGCCACAATATGTTCCCATTGGGTTCAGTGAGAGCCAAATACACTCCCCACCACCCCAAAGCAGAATTTGCCCCTTTGACCATTTGTTTGTTTTTGATTTATACAGTGGGATTATGGAGCACTTCTAAGGACTAGGTTAAGACTTTTCAAAAAGTAGCAAGCCAGGAGCAGCAGATGGAGGCAAATCATGTTTCTTCTGTGAGAGCGACACTTGTTTCAGAAAAAGGCTCTGCTCAGTGTGTGCGCGCTAGAATCAGACCCTACATGATTTATTGATCTTGGCTGTGCATTCTTTACTAAGGCAAAGCTCCCACTGATATTACCCGTGCCTGGTGTGTCAGATCCCTTGATGGGGATTTCTGTGAATGCCTCATACATCTCTCAGGTTCAACAAGGGCCCAGGGCCTCTGATCCTCACTGCTATGCATTTGCATTTTCACAGACCTGCATCTTGTATACTGGTTTCCATTTCATCCAGAAGGGCACACAAAGAAATGACAAACTCTCCCTGTGCCTGTAGAAGGGTGTTTGTAACTGAAAGCTTACAAAGAACATTTTTTCCAACCATTTAGTTGGTCTAATAAAAGAAATCTCATTTACCGACAGAGCCATGTCACATTCAACAAGTAATTTCTAGGTATAAAGCCAACATATTAAATATAGTACAATAGTCTGTCATCAATTACTAAGACGAGTACTTGGAATTTAATCAATATTGCAACCAAATATCAGATGTGGGGTAGAAATAGCATGTGGTGGGGATGAAAAAGGAGGAGAAGAGGTGCTTTGGAGCAGCCACTAATTTTGGAGCATCTCACCAGTGGGTCTGGTATGCTTCAGAGCAAAAGGCCAAGGACCATATGGCCCACTGGCTGATACTGGCTTAGAATGAGAAGGGGTCAGACTCTTATGGCATCTGAAGCTTAGTCTAAATGTACTGAATGTGTGGGAAAGGATGATCTCAGAGATATATCACGGTCCTCTGTATTTTCTCATAGTAACAACAAGCTAATAGCATCTATTATCTTATCTCAAGCTTTACATTCAATGTTTTCTTAGGTGGAACTTGCAGAAATTTGCACCAAGAGTGAACGTTACATTGGCACAGAAGGAGGAGGAATGGACCAGTCGATATCATTTCTTGCAGAAGAAGGAACTGTATGTTCATCTTTGAATGTGAATTAATAACATGTTACAACTATCTGTATGAAAAACAGGAAACAGAAGAAGCTGGTTGAATATTCAAAGCGCTAAGTATTAGGGCTGTGCAAAGCTTCGGTCGTTGATTCGGTTTGGTGGAAGTTTGACCTGATTCGGCAGCTGAATCTCTGAACCTGAACCGAATCAGGAGACCCTTTAATCTCTCCGAATCGAATCAGAACCTCCAAATTGATTTAGAGAGATTCGGGAAGATTCGGTGATTAAAACATAGACACAGCTTTAAATGTCTTTTATACATACCTCTAGCTGGCAGGTGGCTCGTGAATGCTGTGATGCTGGGGTGCATGGAGCATCCCACAGGAGTGTTGGGGGGTCCCCAGTGCGCTCGGCAGCAGACCCGGAAGTGGACCAGGAGCGGTTCCGGGGTAGTTCTGGGTCTGCCAGGGAGCACATGGTGGGGGGCCCCCCTCCAACACCCCCCCAGCTCGGCAACTGGTGCCTCCTGGGTTTGGGGGGGGCATCTGGGGTCCCCCCTGTGGCCAATTGCCAAGCCTAAGGAGTGCGGGGGGGGCCCGCCCAGCACACTCCTCGGAGGACCCGGAAGTGGAACAGAAGTACTTCTAGTCCATTTCTGGGTTCATCGCTGAGCGTGCGGGGCACCCCCCCCCCCCCCCCCCTCCGGCGTGTGGTGCGAGCTACCACCCCTGTGGGACACTCCATCCACCCCAGCATCACAGCATTCACAAAGCTGTGCCTGGTACCTCGAGGTACGTAGAAAAAACATTTAAAGCTGCGTCTGTGGCTGAATTGATGATTCTCCAAATCAGCATTGAATCTTCAGATTCGGACGAATCAAATCGGGGACAGTAATCCGAGTCAACAAATCAAATCACTGTCCCCGATTCAGGTCGAATCCAAATCTGAATCGAATAGGGCTCATTTCCCACACCCCTATTAAGTGTGTCCACAATGAGTGTATACAAGGTGCAGATGTGTGACATGCTTGAAGGACTAAGATGAAAATAGATTAAGAAAATGGAAAGGGTATATGGGAAAGGAAGAGATGCCACAGGAGAGCATTAGACTGCGTGTTGAACAACTGATTTATCTCTGAACCTGGAGAATTTCCCATGCCAGATAGCTTGTGTATCCTATATTAAATGCCAGTGTGATGGTTAGCAAAACAATTCTCTTGGAGGTTCTGGTGCGGGAAAGGCTGCCAGATCCACCCCCTGATGTGTGCAATGAGCCCAGCTGCTACAAGCAGCAAAGTTTTTGACCTTCTGATTGTCTAAAAGCCACTTAACATGAGAAAGCACTGATCCTGCAATCTCTGCATGGAGAGCAACAGTGCATCAGTCCTTTGGCACTGAATACAATGGGGAGCAGAGGAGGGTGCTAAATTTGTACTGCATCAGCAGACACTGGCTGCTGTTTATTTCTAGCCATTTGTTTTGCATTTCAGGCTCCTTGAAATATGGCATGCTAGGTGTCCTTCTGAAATATAACCTAATGATTAAGTGTTTAAGCTATAGTTATTGTGGATAAAGACCTGAATGGGGACTTTGAACTCTCCAAAGACTGGGTCTTCAGGTGATATCCAGATATAAGGACTTGTATTAAGGTCCAGTATTTGCTCCAGTATTAAGGTCTCAATTCTTATGTTCAGTAGCAGCCATGTGCTTTGGTGCTGCTGCCTTGGCTCCAGATAGATTTAAGTTTCCCAAAGGCTAGCCAGAATCATCTTTGTAAAAAAAAGGTATTTTGAAAAAAAAATGTCTGAAACCAGGCAAGAAAATAGATTAGGTGGGGTGCTGGGGTACTCTCTGAAAAAGTGAGGGCTTTTAATGGATAGATGTTAAATTCCATCTCTAAGAAAGAGGTATGAAATAAATGTGTAATTTGGTCATTGGTGTTAAATGGACATGAAACTGCAAGTAAAAGCTATTTCCTTCATTTAGTGTCTGTATGTTCCTGAGGCTGAAGAATAATGCAAATTTGAATTTGATTTATTGCACTGAGTGTACTGTTAGCTAATAGTAAATTACAACTGACCATTAATTTTCCTTTCAATAGGCCAAGCTGATAGAATTCAATCCACTGAGGGCAACTGATGTGAAGCTTCCAAGTGGAGCAGCCTTTGTTATTGCTAACAGTTGTGTTGAAATGAATAAAGCAGCAACTTCTCATTACAATATTAGGGTAATGGAGTGTCGTCTGGCCACAAAGGTACTGTATGGTTTTTGTCAAACCCTAATGAAACCTTCATCCAAATATGTGCTTTCCTCCACCCCTGACCAGTCAGGGCTTTGTTTTAACACTTTGTTAGGTGCTGCTTTAACTGACATTCTTATCTCCCCAAAGTTAGGCTCCTTCATCTCTATGCAAGTCAAAACTCATGCAGAGTTCAGTGAAAGTGTAAAGCGTCTAGGATCAGGCCCTCCTGTGGGCTAGATATGGGGTTCTGTGGTTTAGCACTATTTATTTTATTGCCTGCTACATCTGGACAGAGAACAAATTCACTCCTTTCCAGCAAAGATATTCTCAAAGAATAAGAGTAGACAGTTTCTAAATAAATCTTAATAATAAAATGATAATAGAACCACAGGATGAGGTTGATTTCTCTCTATGCCTATATGTTAATATACGTGTATTTACTAGGCTACATGGAGAGCAATCAACAAGGATACAATTCAGAAACATGAAAATATGATGGGAAATGTTGATTAGAAGCATATTTGTTACTATTCCATTTAGAGATGAGCTTGAACCAAAACCCCAGACTTGGACTTGAATTGGGATGCCAGTTCACAGCTTGAACCTCTCTCTAAAACACATTGAATTCAAATATTCCAGACATTGGAACAGTGTAGATTTGGTTTTCAATTTCAAGTCCCTGGGTATGAATATTTTAATATGAGGTTTTGGTTCAGTCTATCCCAGAAATATAGGGAATTATTTTTTTCTTGGTTCAACTGCAATAGACATAGGATAAACACATAGATTCATTGGAAATAGGCCCAATTTACATAAGTCCAGATGAGAATTCTCAGTTGTACTGTGCAACTCACAAGATGTCAATGGGATCAAAATCATAGCTTGATTCATAAAGCGAGTGGACATGTAGATGGATAATAAGACTATCCAGAGTTATCACAGTTAATGCTCAAAAGAATTTCAGAACAGATACAAAGCCTCCTGCTCCAGGGTTTAAGCCAATCTCTACTGAAAGGGGTTAGGTTGAAACTGTCATAGGGACAAATTAATTCCAGGGTATTATATGACATGGTGCCTACAATAGTAGGGGAATGGCCTTAATGATTTAGAACAGTGGGGACTAACCTTTTTGACAGATGTGCCGCAAATTAGCCCTACATCCCCTCAGAATACTACTACAGTCCCCTTCCCTTGCCAATCTGATGCTTTGCTTTCTGCTCCCAGCCCTGTGTGCCTTGGCTGATCTGCAGTTGAGACTTGACTGAATAGTATCCCAGGTTATGTCTGTTTACATAACTTTAGGAGAGAATCAAATTTTCAACTAAACTTTGTAATATGCTGAATGTGTTCACAGTGGAACCCAAATATAAAAGTTATTGGAAATGGTGTATTTTACCTGTATTTAAAAGATGATAAAATACTGATAGTGCCAATGGTCTCACCTGATCTGACTGCCATTGAAGTCATCAGTAAGATTCTTATTGCCTTTCATGGGACAAGGATCAGGAACTCCTGGCAAGACTGACAAACCTATGACTTGGGGCAGCTGAATAATAACTCTAAGATAAGCATTGCCCGTTGAGGGGTTTTTTTTCTTTTAAAAAAATATGTTGCCTAACAGGAAAAGAATCTTCACACCTAACCTATTTTAATATGCTATTCCAGATAGCAAATGTGTTACTGGCAAAACCAGTTCAGATATTACTTCATCCAGCAGGTTATGGGAATTGTATCATCATTTTTCATATTGTTTAAAACTAATTTTGCCCTGTGCTGTAACATGCAAAGAGCACTGAGGGAAAGAAGCTTGTTATCCCACCTATTAAATATGACACAATAGCTGAAAAAGTACCTTTAACAGACGGGTCATTTTAAGGAAACGAACAACCTACACCTGCTCTTTTTTTTTTAAAGCACATGGTGTCCAGATGGATAGTTGCGCACACAATAAAAAAAAAATTGTCAGGCCAGAAAAAAGCCTGTCTCCTTGCAGAACAGGTCACAGTGGGGTGAAAGTGGGCATAGAAGGGGAGGCAAGGTTGTCTTTTAGGCATTATTAAGACAATAGAACCATGAAATAGCTATGAAACATCTTGGCTTGTGCATCCTGGGATGTATAGGGGATTGCTACCAATGAATGTCTTGATTTTTTCTTTTGCTTCTTTAGGTCTATCATTTTTTATGCTTTTCCCCTGCAGACATTGCAGATGGATAGTAGGACTGTGCAAAGCTTTGGTCCTTGCTTCGGTGGCCAAATCTCCGAATCCGAATCAAATGGAATCAGAGGACCCTTTAATCTCTCCAAATCGAATCAGAACCCTCCAAATGGATTCACAGAGATTTGGAAAGATTCGGCGATTCGGACATAGACACAGCTTTAAATGTTTTTTCTGTGTACCTCTAGGTAGCAGGTGGCTTGTGAATGCTGCGATGCCGGAGTGTCCCACAGGAGCACGGGGGGCTCCCCCAGCACGGTCAGCAGCAGACCCGGAAGTGGACCAGAAGCAGTTCCGGTCCACTTCCAGATCCACTGGGGAACGTGCAACTGGTGCCTCCTGGGTCGGGGGGGGGGCACCCGGGGTCCCCCCTGCAGCTGATCGCTGAGCTGGGGAGGCACCAGGGTGCTCCCCAGTGGACCCAGAAATGGACCAGAAGTACTTCCAGTCCACTTCCAGGTTCACCACTGAGCACGCGAGGGCCCTCCCCCATGCCCCGCCCCCCAGTGCTCCTGTGGGACGCTCTATTCGCCCCTGCATTGCAGCATTCATGAGCTGTGCTGGTACCTGGAGGTATGTAGAAAAAACATTTAAAGCTGTGTCTGTATCTGAATTGCTGATTCTCTGAATCAGCATCGAATCTTCAGATTCAGATTCGACTGAATCAAAATTGGGGACAGTGATCTGAATCAATGAATTGAATCACTGTGCCTGATTCAGGCTGAATCCGAATCGAATAGGGCCTGCTTCGCACACCCCTAATGGATAGGGGTGCCAGTACAGCATCCTCCCAATTCCTTTGGTTGGTGATGGATATAGTGAGGTTTCTCAGTACACTGAATACCTGATTACCTTCAAAAGATTGCATGTCTCACTGTATGCTCTCTTCCCTTTGATTTCTGAGAGATTCATCCTTTTTTCCCTTATTCTGTTCTGTACTATTAAAGTTCTTATGCCATCCTTATCACTGCAGTATCTGAGTGCCTTCCAACAGTGCATTAAGTAACATGATGGCATCTGTTAGATGTTACCCCAGCTGAAATCAGCAGTTGCTTCTGAAAGGCCTATTGTAGGTCACAGAATGTCTGGGGAACCTTGGTGAAAATTTAGGCCCTCTACCCCTTTGTACTATGTTTTATTTTATTCTCATCTAATGTCCTTACTATTTTAAATTTTAATCAGCTAATGTTTCTGATTACAGAATATGCATATGCTCCCAATGCCTCTAAGCTATGACTCTGTCCTGTTACCAGGTCTGGGGTTGCATGGGGTAGGAGTGAGTGGGTAGGGACTGTTTCTGAGCAGTAGTACAGACATACCTTAAAAGTCCTTTAGATGCAGCTGTATGATGGCAAAATAGTCTGTGAGTATTTTTGTTACATAAGCACTAAATATTCATCGACTCACTTCCAATCAGGCTCCCTTTTGTTTATATTTGTCCCGTCATTTTCTGGGATATGTTTTCCTTTCACATTTACTTGTACTGTCCCAACGTGACTGTGCTATTGAGCAATAACAGTATAATGTAGCAGCTATGAGCTAACTGGCTATTACCCAAGTTCTTCATCCATCTAGTCAATAACTGCCTGGGAATGCCAAAATGTAGCATCAAAATGGCTTTTGTAAAGCTAACATAAGGATTCTTTCCCTTGTTTCCCCCTCTCCATTTACTGTATTTTGAGCTGCTGTTGATGACCAGTTTAGGGGGCTTTAAAAAAAAAATCCTTTTTCCACTAATAATTTTTCCCCAGTGATGCAAAAGCAAAAACTTTATTGTGATGAGCTTTGAACATTTCCAAAAAATTCCAGTTTTCAAGGGATTGGTTTCAGTTCAGAATATTTGGTTTGTTGACTGTCACCACTGCAAGCTCATTTTAAGCAGAGCACTTCTTATCAAGAAATTGGGAAGCAATATTATAAAACATTGGTGACATACTTATTGATAACTGACTCATTCCTCAAAATGATAAAAGGCATTATGTTTTAGAACATTTTTCTAAGTGCTCAGACCTATTTAATTAACTTCCACTAATGGAGGCTAAAGGATTGTGATCCTAAGATTATAATAATACTATGCATTTGTTTAGCGCCTTAAAACCGAAAGCCTCAAATCATTTTATGACATTAATGAATTTAAGATTGTAAAGATAAAAATAACTACATGAACTAAAAATTGCTCTCATTTTATAGGCAGGTACAGACATCAAGACCATGGATTTTTGGAAACGAGGCCATGAATTACTTTGCCAGTGTTTCATCAGAAAATATCCTCATTTCTTGAGCCTACTGTTTTAGACACTAGACCATGTTCCTGATGTCTGTCTGTCAACATGTTCAGGCTGTGTTTTAGAAGGCTGCCAAGCCCTGTGGCTAGTATTTCATGTGGCCTACTTCTACTCTAGGAGTCTCCACAGAAAGTCACTAGATGGCACCAAACATAGTTAATTTTTATATACTGCAATAAAACAAAATTGAAGAAGTCCCTGTAAAATAATGTGTGAAGAGAAGTGGGAAAGCAAGGAGCTACAGCAAGTAACTGGGCAAAAGCTCATTGTTTGTATGGTCTACCAGTTTCATGAGGTTATTTTGTACAAATCATGTGTAGACCTGTCCATAAAACCTCAGAAACAGATTTCTTGTTAGACCCTATTCAGGAAAGCAAATGCTTCAAACATTGATGTTAAAGTTCAACACATGCTGAAATGCTTTGTTGAGCTGACTAAAATCTTAATGGTTTCTTACAAATTCAACTCAAGGCCAGTATTAATTGAAAAGAACAGAACTTGATGGGTGAAATCAGTGGGAGTTTTGACCTTGATTTCAGTGGCTCCAGGACTTCACCCCAGGCTTGTTCCTTATACTCTTTAACCCCACCTGTTCCCTACATCAGAGATCCTGATCCTGCATTTCATATTTCATAGACATTAGGGCTGGAAGGGACCTCAGAAGATCACTGAGTCCAGCCCCCTGCCCAAAGGGCAGGAAGTCAGCTGGGGTCATAGGATCCCAGCAAGATAAGCATCCAGTTTCATCTTGAAGATGTTCAATGAAGGCGCTTGAACCACCTCCGGTGGCAGGCTGTTCCAGACCTTGGGGGCTCGGACAGTAAAGAAATTCTTCCTTATGTCCAGCCTGAAACGATCTTGTAGTAGTTTGTAACCATTCAACCTCGTCATCCCTTGGGGCGCTCTGGTGAACAAACGTTCCCCCAGATACTGGTGGTCACCCCGATAAACTTGTAGGTGGCCATCAGATCACCCCTGAGCCTGCGCTTTTCCAGGCTAAAGAGCCCCAGGGCTCTCAGCCTGTCATCGTAGGGTCTGCTTCCCTGACCTCTGATCATGCACGTGGCTCTTCTCTGGACTCTCTCAAGCTTCTCCACATCCTTTTTGAATTGTGGAGCCCAAAACTGGACGCAGTACTCCAGCTGCGGCCTCACTAAGGCCGAGTACAAGGGGAGAATGACGTCCCGGGATTTGCTTGAGAAGCATCTATGGATGCAAGCCAGTGTTTTGGTCGCTTTACTAGCTGCAGCTTCACACTGCAGGCTCATGTTCATCTTGTGGTCAATGATGACCCCCAAGTCTCTTTCTT